AATCTGGAAAAGCAGTTGCAGTACCATGTCTTGGATGTTATCTTTAAAAACAGCTTTTTCCAATGGCCAAGTTATGAAAACAACCCAGATGCCCTAGAATACGTGAGTGGAGCAAATGAATGTGGAACATACACAAAAAAGAATTTTACTCATCATTGAAAAGTAGATTATGTCCTCTGCAGGGAAATGGAGAGAGCTAGAACAAATGGTGTTGTGAGGTCATCTAAACACATGTGTTCTTTCATATGTGGAAGCTTGATCTAAACTACAGGGACATAATAAATTATACAAGTCTCTAAGCATTCGCACTCAGGGAGATCAAAAGAAGATAATAGTGGAGAAATTAACCCAGAGGCATAATGCTGAACACATGAAATACTATTTATCAAAATGAATTACAGAAAATGAAAACAGGGGTTATTTACTTATTTTTTCAGTGGTAGTGGTAGTGATGTTCGCATGTTTTTTTTGTTGTTGTTCTTTTGTGTTATTCATTTTTTCTGCTTCTTACTAGGGACAAAAGGGGGACAGAGAAAGGGAGAGAGGAATGGTGAACAAATGTACTCATGGTATTCAGGACACAATTATGTGTTAAATGAACCATGCAACTTTATGGGCAGGGATGGGAGGGGGAAACTGGAGAAGTGAAGGAATGCGCGACATTGTCTAAAAAAGAAATGTATGCACTACCTGAATGTGAACCGGAATAACACCTGAATAATAACACCTGAATTGCCACGCCACATACACTTGGTTGAAACTTCTGGAATGAAAGGTTCTGGACAGGAGTGGAGTCTGGCATAGACTCAAAACCCAGGCATCCCCCAGGAGTTGGTGGAGAACCGGATTCCCTAGAGAAGACAATCTGGTCAGACTTAACCTGTTGTTCTCTGAGAAAGAGAAGTTCCAGTGTGACTGCTGCTCACCACAGTGACCCAGGGCCCAGTGACAGGATACCTGCCCTGTGCCCTGACAAGTCCCACCTGGGAGAGCGTCTGTCCTGCCTCCAGGCCAGTTCAGGCCTGCCATTGTACACAACAACCCTTGTTTCCTCCTCTAACAAGCAGCTCAATATCCAACCACCATGGGAACCCAGTCCAAGAGGCACAGGCACAATGGAGGGGAAGCTGTCGAAGCAAGCGTTTGGAAAGGAGCAGAGATCACAGCAGGCAAAGCAGCCATGAGGATGTGTCTGCAAGGAGTCCTTAGCTGGGTTCAGCAAAGAGAGGCCGGCGCAGGTGGGCAGGGCACTTCCATAACCAATTTGAACATCTCTGACTTGACATCGGCAACAGAATAAGGGGCTGCAAATTCAATGAATAGTCTCTGGCCAGAGAAACAAGGTCAAACGCTTAAGTTTCTTCACTTCCAGTGGTTCCTGGTGTCTCCAGCTGAGTGGACATCTTTCTATGGCCAGTGGGTGCCACGCCACCTTCTGCGGAGTCTGCGTGATAGATCGCATTAGACAAAGAGCTTCAAGGAAGCATGCCTGCAGGAAGGGGGTGTTGGTTCAAGGCTTCCCATACACTTGGCTGCGCCTTTATAGCCTCTACCTTTATTCTTACTATATTCTTCTTGGCTGTACATTCATTGCCTTTATTCTCATTTTGACTATTTTTCTATTGATCCTCGAACAGAGCATGTTGTATCTTTCCAGTCCAATAGAGACGGCTTCTCTAAGTAATAAAGACTAAGACCAAAGATTAAATGTGGGCAATGCCCCAATCAATCTATCATCTGATGTGACGTTGCCTCCAGAAACTCCTACAACTTCACAAGCAGTTTTGCAGCTCACGCATAGTAAATACAGAGACTTAAAATTTCCAGATATGTCCAACAGACAAAATCAATGAATTAAACTAAGTTAGAAAGAGTTATCCCAGTAGTTCAGAGAGTTTAAAAAAAAAGGGACCTCTGATTATAAAAGAAAAAGAAAGATTCTCCCAACAGTTATGATTAAGTTTAGTCCAACTTAGGTTATAGGGAATAGATGGTGGTTTCACACAAAATATAAAGTTAGTAACATCATATTTCCTGAACCAACCGAAGAACCATTTCCTTATACAGGAGCTTATAAAGATGAAAATAGTTGGATAAAAATAAAAAGAGTACAATATAAGTACAGCCCTGTCTTAGGTTTGTTAATTATTAAACATAAAAAGGCTGAATAGATGACGCATTCTATTAAACAATATGCTAGACTTGTTTCGCACCACTTAGCTTAAACAGTTGGTGGGATAGTCATCAATTTTCATGTAATTCATCAATGCTTTGCCTTTAAAAAAAATTGATTACGTGCTTAAATAAACAAAGAATCTATGTCACAATCACACACTGTATAAAAATGTTAATTCTCCTCAATAAAGATACACTCAGATGCAACTCTTTTGAGTCTGTGTCTGCTTGTCACTTCGCCGACTCCTTGCCCACCTATCCCGAGATCCCTGTCCTGTCGGTTCCAGTGCTCTAGCCGAGCTGGTCCGTCGCACTGAATAATAACAATAAAACTATATTTTTAAAGAAAACAACCTTTTACCCTTGGTCTTCTGATCGTGAGGTCAGATTGCCCAGAAAAGTCTTTGAGACTCTTATTTCTAATTAATAAGCAACAATCTGGATGCAGAAGTGTGGCTCAACTGGTAAAACACCTGCCTTGAGGAAAGAAGCCAAACTGAATAAGACCCTGTGTTCAAGCCCCAGTGCCAACACCAAAAACAGTGTTTGGTTTTTTTTTTTTTTAAAGAAATATTGGTTTGTTTTAATACAATATAAAACACTGTGCAAGCTTAATTTTTAAATATGTTTACTTAGCACATTCAGACTTTTAAAATGCATTTTTATTGTAAAAATGCTGTACAGAGGGGTTACAGTTACATGAGCAAGGTAATGAGTACATTTCCTATTGAGCATTGTTGCCTCCTCCTTTGTTTTCCTCCTACCATCCCTTCCCTCCCACCTCCACAACTATTCAGACTTTTTAAAGGGAATATTTCAAGGGCTTTTTATAGGGAATATTTTTGTCACTCATTACTGTGATCATCTCATAGGTTTTCAGTTTGTTCCTTGTTTTTGATTTTGAAAGGCAAAGGTTTTCTGGTACTGGGCCTTGAACTCAGAGCCTCCAGGTCTTGCTTAGCATTTTTGTTCAAGGCTGAAGTATTGTCACTTGAACCACATTTCCACTTCTGGCTTTTGCTGGTTAATTGGAGATATAAGAGTCTCAAGGATGTTTCTGCCCAGACTGACTAGCTAGAATACATGAAGGAGCCACTAGCACATGACTAGAAACAAATTCACATATTTACAAAAAGATGACAAAACAACAAGATTTTTCTTTTTGGCCATTTTTTATGATGAGGTTTTGAAGCAAAAAAAGAAGTAAGGCAACAGAGTTTCCTGCCCTTAAGAATTAACTTGGTGGAATTACATATCCAGATGTAAAAAAGGAGTCAAACTGATTTTACACGGGGAAAGATTTTCTGTAGGGAAACAGTTGTGGCCTGTGCTACTCAATCTTGACAGTTTATTTTCATATTTGGAGGAGGATTGCATGATTGAGTAAAAAATATTTGTTCCCACAGTGTGAGTCACCCAGCCAGTGCAGTCCTTGGAAAACATTAGTAGGTGGAAGGCAATGAAGTCAGATGTTTGGAACGGACTCTGTGGTATTGTAGCCACTCCTCTCACCCCCACACCCCCAGTTTGCACAGAAGGCCTCAAATTGTATTTCCCCTGCACTACCAGCCTCCCCCCAAAAAAATCCTACCCTAGCATTTGGAGTGCATAGTTTCCCATATAAGAAGTAACACATTTTATCACCATCATTCACCTTAGAAACAGCTTAAAGTTCCTGGCAGAAATTTGAGGAACAGTCTAGACAAGTGGTGATGGCCTAAAAGCAGGAGTCATGCAGCCCTTCTACACTTAGGCAGTTACTTAGCCAACCCTGAAAGCCCCGCCTCTCAGCAGTCACCATGGGAAGGGCAGAGTCCCAGGGGCCTGTCATGAAGACACACCCCTTCCAGGGACTATAAGGGCTGCAAGGCTGATCCAGGCTCCTCCAGGACCCACATCCTGGGAGGCCAAGCAGCTGTGCAGAGGGTAAGGAAGGCTGCCACAAGGGAGGTGGCCTGGGAGGGAAAGGCAGACCCCGCTGAGCCTCTCAAGGGCTCCCAGAGGCGCCCACTCCTTGCCTCTGTAAGCCAAGAGCAATCTACCCTGCACCCTAGCCCCTGCCGCAGCACATGATCCCAGCTGGTGAGGATTGTCGCAGGAGATCCCCTGGCAAGGCAGCCTCCGGGGCCAGGTTGCACTGCCAGGCCGGCCTTGCAGACAGGGAGGGGGGAAGGTGATGCTGGCCAGTGCAGACCTAAAGCTGAGATCTGGTTTTCTTTCCGTGTAGCTCCTTCCTGGCTGAACTGTGTGGGACTTCCCAGCAGCAGAAGGCGGGTCTGCTTCTCCCTTCCACCTCAGAGAAGGAAAGGAAGCCAGTGCCATCCAGAGGTCGTTCCTCAGCAAAGGTGAGAAGTGAGCTGAGCACAGATGTTGTTTGCTCTGCTCTGGGAAACTCAGTCTGTAAGATTCCAGAGGGGTCCAAGGTTGATCCATACAGACCCCTATGCCCAGCCAGAACCTACCATTGCAAGCACTACCTTCCTTGCACAAGGGAAGAGGACATTGTGTCCAGCCTCCCTGCCTAACAGCCTTCCCTGACCCTAGATAGGCTGCCTTCCCAAACCCACAACTTCTACACCCACTAAGACTTTGGACCTTGATGTTTAGGAATGACCAAATGAATTCTATTGCTCATTATAATTCCATCTTTCCCAGAAATTGTTTTAATGGGTAGCAGATGGCTATGATCTTTTAGTCAAAGCATTCTTATTGCAGGCAAATGCAGGCAAGGGATTCATTCCCCAAATGAATGAGACTTGTACCAGAGGAACAGTTATGTGTGTTCTCCCAAACCTAGCAGTTTGGAGGAGCTGGGGAGCTGGGTTGTCAGAGGCACCTGTCTAGCAGGTGAGAACAGCAGGAATCTGGCATTGTGTCATGGCTCAGGTCCAGCCCCACCTTTGTGTACATGGGAGAGAATTCTTGTGCTCTTGGGTGGGGATGAGCTGAGGTCCAAGTTCCAGGGTGTTAAGCGGTGGGTGGCACAAGCTGAGATGTTGACAGGGCCAGGGGGCATCCCTCGTGATGGCATGGGCAGTGGGCAGCCTGCGGCCTTCACTTTGTGTTCCAGCTTTCATCATGGAGCACCTGAGCACTGCCAACACCCGTTTCACCTTGGACCTGTTCCTGGCTCTGAGTGAAAACAACCCAACAGGAAACATCTTCATCTCTCCCTTCAGCATTTCATCTGCCTTGGCCATGGTTCTTCTGGGGTGCAGAGGCAACACTGCAGCACAGCTCTCCAAGGTCAGCAGCAGGAAACTTGGTCCCTCTCTGCTATTCTCTGCTAAACCCAGAACTGGGGTCAAAAAGTGGCACCTCTGAACTCTTAATGTGTTTTCTGAAACCATGTTTTGATCTGTGTTTACCAATGGTCCGTGGTTAGGTCAGGTTTTCCTAAAAGCCCAAGAGCAGCCTTTCATGAAGATCCTCACTGAGCCCTTATTATATTATATGGCAGCAATGTGTATTGGTTTGCCTAGGATATAGCAGTGAGCAAATCCACTGATGTTCCTGTGCCACCAAGGGCTTTATTTCCAAGACTGAATTTCTCAGCTTTCCTGGGTCCTCACGTCTCCTTGTGTAGTAGTTTCCAGCTGTGCTTTGCATATGATATCTAACTACTCATAAGTAATGCCTGTTCTATGGAATCACCTTTAAACCTTCGAGGGAGGAGATATGGGAAACACACAAAAGACAATGAGAAGTTGGTGGTATTGCCTTCTTTCAGGGACTGGAAAAAAAGGCAACTGTCTAGCCTGTTCCCAAAGCTTGACTCTGTGTGTGAGGGGACTGGCTCAGGACTAAGGAGCAGCACAAGATTCCTGTGGCAGGTGGGGTGTGGGAGGCTGGGAAGGTTGGTGAGTGGGACCCAGCCCCTGGCAAAAACGTACCAACAGATGAATGTCAGCAAGAGAAAAGACACCCGTGCGTCCCCGTCTTCCATAATGTGCTGTTTTCCAGAATTCTGAGAGAACACTGCCTTCTTTTGAAGCCTAGGAAAGAATGGTAAAAGTGGAGAACTTTCTAACATGCCTACCATACATCAGACAGCACTGTTCTCTGGGAAGGTGAAGCTCTGGTGGCTCAATCCATAGATGGCAAGCCTTGAGCAGAGCAGTTAAGGGAGATAACTAGACTCTGAGCTTAAGCCACAATACCAATACACACGCACACACACACAAAGAAATGAATAAATTTAGAATAAAAACACTCTAATATGATGGAAGCCAACCTAGGGATTCACTTAGAAATTTCAAAACAAATGGTAATCTGTAGAAGGTTTTCTTTCTTTCAGACCTTTCATTTCAATGAAGTTGAGGACATTCATTCCAGATTTCAAGATCTGAATGCTGCGATTAATAAACATGGAAGTCCCTATATTCTGAAAGTTGCTAACAGATTATATGGAGAGAAAACATATAATTTCCTCCCGGTAAGTGCTTCACTTTCCATACTGCATAATTCCACTGGATAGTTGAGATGCTTTCCTGTAAAAATCAAGGCACAAAAGGCACTTTAGTAGTTTTAATATTTATACAAACAATATAGAATGAGAATGTGTGGCATATAGCACTTCCTTTTATTGGACTTTCATTTGCTTTGTAGAAAGCTCAGTCCTGTTATTCTACTAAAGTAATATTGTCATTCCCTTCCAAAGTACTATTGTTATTTGCCCACTTAGGAAAATGTCAGCTCAAGCATTGAAAAGAAATTGGTAAACTTTATATAGCACCAAAGTGTATTAAACTTAGCCCTACCACAATGAACCCTTAATGGTTGAGATACAAAATATAATGCTACTATGTTTGATGAAAATAAAAAAGTGTAGGGCTTAGAGTTTTTGTGTTCAATGAAATGTAGCCTTTTCTGCTGAATTCTTTCACTTTCCAGAATTCTGGGAAATTATTCCTGTGCATAGGAGGGGTGATTCTTGACTTCTTCTTGATTTTTGACATAGGAATTCTTGGCTTCAACTCAGAAAATGTATGGTGCTGAGTTGGCCAGTGTGGATTTTCAGCATGGCTCTGAGGAGTCCAGGAAGGCAATAAATGAATGGGTCAAAGGGCAGACAGAAGGTAAGAGATTGGGCATCATGGAGTCTCTGTTAGCCAGCGTTTCCTTACTGTAACATCTCCCTGAGATAGCTTGTGTAAAGAAAAGGTTGTGTAGTCAGCCCATGATTGATTGTTCCAGTGGCAGCACAGTTCCTCATGGCAGGAGCATGTGGCAGAGGAGTGAATTTACTTCATGGCTGGATAGGAAAAGAAAGTAGGAAGGACAAGGGAAAGGAAGAGACCAGTGTCCCACAATCCCTTGAAGGTTATCCCTCCTTTCCGGTCTTGTAGTCTGAACACTTTCCACTTAGTCCCACCTATTAAAGACTCCACCACTTTCCAGTATTGAGAAGGGCTGGGGAGAAAATCTGGAATTCATAAGGCCACTTCCTAGCAATAGTAGACTCATCTTGTGCAGGCCCTTTCTGTCATCCACCCTCCTTCCTTGCATCTTATTTCTTTTCCCAGCCCTTCCCAAATCCTGATTCATACACACTTCCCTTTAGATGCCACTCCCTGGACATAAGTTTTGTAATGCTCATTTGTGGACAAACTGTCATTTACTAGAAATCCAAGAGAGAGGAAATATAGACAAAATTGAACTGGAGCAGCTAAATATTTTCTTGTCAGTTCTTTCCAACTACATTTTAAAGTTGAAACCAACACTCAATACAGAATAAAAGGAATAACACGCCTGCCCTCAAATAGTTAATATTCATAGGAAATTTCATGGAATACATGAAGCCAATATTTAAAAATGGTTATGGTTGTTAATACTTTTGCCAACCTCTTGTCCAGTAAATCAAGAGCATGTGGTGGGTAAATTTACTATCAGGGCTCAATTAATTTATTAACCTAATATTGTCCCTATGTGCATTAGTATTCTCAGAAAACACCTGAACACCTGTGCAATACAACAGGAAATTGTTCCCTGCTGTGTCTGTAGCTTTGGGTAGACACTTTGCTGAAGAGAATGATTGTTTTACCTTGTGGATATTTATTAAAATTATTTTTTAGAGTAAGTTTCCATTTAGTAGATTTGAAAACACATGTACAAGTGACTATAAACATTTTCATTAAGGATGATTTTCTGAAATTTCCATTCACAAAATAATGCTTATTGTTTTGACATAGTCCAGGTCAGGAGCATTTTTCCTAAATTTAGCCTTGCAGGACATTTGATTGGTTTTAATGAACTTTTTGGTTTTCATGCAGGGAATGCAATCCAGGACTTCATGCACATACTCTGTACTACTGCTGAGCTGCACTCCAAGCCCCATCAATGACCTATTTGCATGCCACCCTGGTCTGTCTCTCACATTGCTGTGTTTAAAGTCAAAAGAACCAGTTGGGCTTTTGTTAACACCGAGTTAAAGGAAAATATATGGGAGCATATACGTTTGAATCACCTTTTAGTGCAACCAAATTGTCTGTTCAAACTTGGAATTCCAACACAGAGTTTTCAATAGGCTCACTTTATCTTCTCAGGGAAAATTCCAGAACTACTGGCTGCAGGTATGGTTGATACCATGACCAGACTTGTGCTGGTGAATGCCATCTACTTCAAGGGAAACTGGCAGGAGAAATTCATGAAAGAAGACACAACTGATGCCCCGTTCAGACTGAACAAGGTCAGGAGATGCTAATGTCCAGAAATGCCTTCTGGGTTGAGGGGTGTGTGTGTGTGTGTGTGTGTGTGTGTGTGTGTGCACTGTGCATGAAATCCAAGTGTCCCATTTGCTGTTCCCATTACTCTACTGTGAAACCACAACTCCAGCCTCTAAATTACTCTTTGCTATAAAGAACAGAAAATAATTAGGACCTTTTTTCTTCATGTTTCAGAAAGACACAAAAACAGTGAAGATGATGTATCAGAAGAAAAAGTTTCCTTTTGGCTACATCCAGGACCTGAAGTGCCGGGTGCTGGAGCTGCCTTACCAGGGCGAGGAGCTCAGCATGGTCATTCTGCTGCCTGATGACATTGAGGATGAGTCCACAGGTCTGAGGAAGGTAACCCACTGCCAATATCCTGATTCCTGTTTCCTTTTGCTATACTGCTATGCTCAGGCAATTGTTCTTGTGTGTAAGTTCCGTGGTATGTTCTTGGTATTTGTCACTGACGTTATCTGACATCCAATGCCAATGCTTTCCATTTCTCTGTAAATACAACCTATCAGCCTTTACTTCTCTGAGGCCCTGCTTTAATTTTATTCTCATCATCACTTTTTTGTTATGATGAGGATGATGATTTGTTGCTGATCCTGGGGCTTGAAATCAGCACCTGTGTAAGTTTCCTGTGTTATTTTTTGTTCAAGGCTATGGTTGTACCACTTGAGCCACATCAAGTTCTACATCAAGCTTTTTGGTACTTAATTATAGAGGAATATTCCGGACTTCTCTGCCTGGGCTGGCTTCAAACCTCAATCCTCATATCTCAGTCATTTGAGGAGCTTCAATTATAGACAGGAGCCTGTTTTATTATCAGCATTGCTAGAGACCAAACCCAGGGTCCTGTGCATGTTAGGCAAGTGCTCTGCCTCTGAACTTTATCTCCATACAGAAATCCTACGTTGAAATTGATAAGATGGCCAAGCATTTTCAGTGGGCTGATGTGATCAGGAAAGTTTACAGATTGATACTAAAGTAATATTTGTTTGTGACAGTCATGGAAAGTCTCTTCAATTGCCTTAGAGAAAAGTATATAAGATGAGGATTATTTTACTGAAGAAAAAGTTTTTTAAACCCTGACATTTCATTGTATATTTTAATCATGTCCTAACATTATTCATTCTTACTATAATTCACATAGACTAAGTTTTCTTTTTTTTTAATTTAATTTAATTTTATTTGTGAACATACTGTACAGAGGGGTTACAATTACATGGGCAGGATAATGCGTACATTTCTTACCAAGCATTGCAGCCTCCTCCTTTGGTTTACCCTTCACATCCTAGACTAAGTTTTCAATGGGTACATGCTTGATGGAGAGTTAGGCCTATTTTCTAATGTAAACTTTGCATAATATTTCCATTGTAGATAGATGATCTGTTCCATGTTCAAAGTTCCTGTACTTGAATCTTATTGTCTTAGAACATATTTCTGTTCTATTATACCAATTGGCAAACAAAAATGAAATCTTTCTAATAGAATCTGTTTGAGCACAAAACAAAGGAAACCTATTACCAATTGTTATTGTATCCCCATTGATTTGATTGGTGCTTATTTGCTTATGTAAAATCCCTTTCACTTTTTCCTTTTGCCTTATTCTAATTTCAGATTGAGAAGCATTTGACTGTAGAAAAACTTCGTGAGTGGACCAAACTTGTGAAGCTGAAAAAGCCTGAGGTCAAGGTCAAATTACCCAGATTCAAACTGGAAGAAACCTATGTGCTCAACTCTGAGCTAGCCCACCTGGGAGTACCGGATCTCTTTATTAGTAGCAAGGCTGATCTGTCTGGCATGTCAGGAGGCAGAGATCTTTTCATATCAAATATTGTCCACAAATCTTTTGTGGAAGTGAATGAAGAGGGTACAGAGGCAGCAGCTGCCACTGGAGTTGTTGCCACCTTTTTCTCGAGGCCACACATGGTAGACTTCACAGCTGACCATCCATTCCTTTTCTTTATTTGGCACAACCCCACAGATAACATCCTGTTCCTTGGCAGATATTCTTCCCCTTAGAAGAAAGAGTCTCAGGCAAGGAAATCAAGGTCAAGAATATAGTCTTAGTTCCTGAGCTTTTAATAGTTAAAATTATCAGTTATTTTTTACCAATAAAATTACTATCCAGAAGCTACCTTCAATTTCCTTTAAAAACTCATCCCTCTTGGCTTTTTATATAATTAATTTTGTACTATTTAGGTGAATACTTGTTTAGTTGGTGTTGGTATTGGCCTTTGAACACAGGGCCTCCTCTTCTTAACTTGACTTTTTTCTCTGAATGGTGGCACTCTACATCTTGAGCCATACTCCAGTTCTGCCTTTATTTTTTGCTGGCTTATGGGAGATAAGAGTGTTTCCCATTGATCTGCTAGGGCTGACTTTGAATTTTTATTCCTCAGATCTCAACCTCCTGAGTAGCTAAGATTATATTCAACAGATTTTACAATGAAAAGAAAAAAATACAGTGATTGTGCTTTTGAGTTAAAAATAAAGGATAACTCAGATGTATAGATTCTTAACCATGTAGTAGTCTGTGAAGTTGCCATGCTCTCTCACAGTAGACATGACTTTCAATCATCACTTATTTCTCAGTCTGGAATTAGGATGAGGCAAAAAGAAGAGATGAAATCAATTTTACAAAGTAATCAAACATTGTTTAAATGAATGAACCTATGTACACTCTTCCTACCTTCCTCCATCCTTTTTTCCCTCCATTCTTCATTGTGCTGGGGATTGTCCAAAGTGCCCCAGGCTCGCTAAGTTAGTGCTCTACTACTGAGTCCCTTTCCCAGTACCATGTCTGGATTTTATCTTTACAAATCGCCTTTCCAATGGCCAAGTTATGAAAGTGGCCCAGATGTCCTAGAATACATGAGTGGATCAAACAAATGTGGTATATACACAAAAGAGAATTTTACTCATCCGTTGGAAAGGAGATTATATCCTCTGCAGGGACATGGAGTGACCTAGAGCAAATCCTGTTGTGAGGTAACCCAAGCTCAGAGAGACAAATGGTGCATATTTTCTCTCATATGTGCAAGCTTGATGTGAATTATGGGGACATAACAAATTATACAGGTATCTAGGCGTTCTCACACAGGGAGGCCAAAAGAGGATACCAGAAGGGAAGGAACCAACCCAAAGGCATAATTCTGAACACATATTATCAACATGAGTTATAGGAAACGGAAATATATTTTTAGTGGTGGTGGTAGTGGTCTTTGCATGTTTTTTTTTTTCATTGCTGTTGTTCTAATGTGTGTTTCCTTTTTCTGCTTCTTAGCAGGTGCAAAGGGGGACTCAGGAAGGGAAGGAGGAATGGTTAACAAATGCAATCATGGTATTTAGGACACATTTAAGTGGGAAATGAACTAGTAACTTTGTGGGCAGGGGTGGGAGGGTAAAACTGGGGAAAAGTGAATAAAGGGGTGACATTGTCTAAAAAGAAATGTTTGCACTACCTGAATTGTGAAATGGAAACGCTGTGTACAACACCTGAATAATAACAATAAAATTATATTTTTAAAAGAAACAGCCTTTTGCCCTTGGCCTTCTGACTATGAGGTTGCTATCCAGTGCTTCTGAACAGTAGTAACTTGATCAAGTTATGCCAGCTAACTGACTGCTTGTTAAGAAGTATTGGTTTCAGAGCCAGGCCCTGGTAGCTCTCCCCCATAATCCTAGCTACTCAGGAGGCTAAGATCTGAGGATCTCTGTTCAAAGCCAGATTGTCCAGCAAAGTCTTTGAGACTCTTATTTCTAATTAATAGGCAAAAATCTGGATGCAGAGGTGTGGCTCAAGTGGTAGAGCACTTATCTCAAGGAAAGAAGCTAAAGTAAGGCCCTGAGTTCAAGTCCCAGTATGAGCACCACAAAAAGACTGCTCTGGTTTTTTTTTAAAGAAGCATTGATTTCTTTGTTCTAATAAACTATAAATATACAAGCTTAATTATTATTTAAGTTTACTGAACTTATTCAGGCTTTTGTTCAAGGGAATATTTCAAGGGCTTTTTTAAAATAGAGAATATTTTTGTCACTCATTATTGTGATCTTCTCATCTGGTTTTTTGTTTAATCATTTGTTTTTATTTTTGAGAGGGGGAGGTTTTCTGGTACTTGGGCTTGAACTCAGGCCTCCACATCTTGTTTAGGTTTTTTTGCTCCAGGCTGGAACATTATCACTTGAACCATATTTCCACTTCTGGCTTTTTGCTGGTTAATTGGAGAGAAGACTCTCAAGGATTTTTCTAACAGGCTGACTAGCTAGAATACAGGCAGGAGCCACTGGCACGCAGCTAGAAACAAATCTTCATAATCACAAAAAGACTATCAACCCATATGGTATGATTCATACAAACTAAACAAAATTTTTCCTTTTTGGTCATTTTCCATGATGAGGTTTGCAAGCAAGTAAGGAGAAGTTTCAAAACAGATTTTTTTTTTTACCCCTTTTAGTTTGTTTTTATATTGTTTTGTTTTGTATTTTAAAATCGCAAACACCTATTAACTTGCACAATGATATTCATCATTATCTTAATTTACCATGCTTATGAACTCTATGACCTTGAACCATACTATTTTTTTTCAAATTGGGTGATATGTATGTTTCTTTCCTTTTGCTTAGTATCTGCTGTTCCCTCATTCTCTCTTATTCCCTTCCTCCCATCATCGCCCTTGAGTTGTTTAATTCACTTCCATCAATGTCCAGTGCAGCTGATGGGCCCCTCCACTGTATTTTTTCACCTGCTTTCCACTGATTCTGCGCTCTGCTCCTACCTTCCCTCAGTTGTGCATGTGTAATCACCATTTATGAAGTAAAGAATACAGAGTCGTCTAAAATTTGATAGGATAAAGTAAGAAGAGATACTTTGTTTCCTTCTCTTTGGGTTTCTTTTTAATATGTCTATTTTATATAGAAATGAAGGGGTGCTTGGGTATTGCAATTTGGTGCTTTTCTCCTAAGACTGTCCTGTTTTGGTCTCACTGTGTATGGGTAATTTGAGTCCTGTTTTACTTTGTCATATCTCATTGCATTTTAACATTTAACATCTATCAGGGAGAATATACTCCATTGTCTGTTTGATCTTAGCTTACCTCACTCAACATGATTTGTTCTAGTTCTGTCCATTTCCCTGTAAATGCCATTCTTTTATCCTTTCTAATGGTTGTATAAACCTCCATTGTATACAGGTACCATAATTTGTGGATCCATCTGTAGTAGGGCATCTGGATTGTTTTCATATATTGGCTATTGACACAACAGACATTTTGTGCTCATAAGCACTATTAACTTGATGAAATTCATATCCAGATGTAAAAAGGAGTCAAACTGATTTTACTTGGGGAGAACTTTTCTGCAGGGAAACAGTTGTGGCCTGTGATTCTCAATCTTGAGAGTTTATTTTCATATTTGGAGGAGGATTGCATGATTGAGTAAAAAATATTTGTTCCCACAGTGTGAGTTATGTGCTGTGTCACCCAGGCTGTGCAGTCCTTTGAACGCATTGGTAGGTGGAAGGCAGTAAAGTCAGAAGTTTGGATCGGATTCTGTGGTATTGTGGCCACTCCTCTCACTGCACCCCCAACACCCCCGTTTGCACAGAAGGCCTCAAATTGGATTTCCCCTCCACTACACCCCCACACACACCAGCAAAAAAAAAAAAAAAAATCCTACCCTAGAATTTGGAGTACATAGTTTCCCATATAAGAAGAAACACCATCATTCACCTTAGAAAGAAACAGCTTAAAGTTCTTGGCAGAAATTTGAGGAACAGTCTAGAAAGGTGTTGATGGCCTAAAGCAGGAGTCATGCAGCCCTTGTACACTTAGGCAGTTACTTAGCCAACCCTGAAAGCCCCGCCTCTCAGCAGTCACCATGGGAAGGGCAGTGTCCCTGGGGCCTGCCGGGAAGACACACCCCTTCCAGGGACTATAAGGACTGCAGGCCTGATCCAGGCTCCTCCTGGACCCACATCCTGGGAGCCCAAGCAGCTGTGCAGAGGGTAAGGAAGGCTGCCACAAGGGAGGTGACCTGGGAGGGAAAGGCAGACCCCGCTGAGCCTCTCAAGGGCTCCCAGAGGCGCTCATTCCTTGCCAACAGCAATCTACCCTGCCCCCTAGCCCCTGCCCCAGCGCATGATCCCAGCTGGTGAGGATTGCCGCAGGAGATCCCTTGGCAAGGCAGCCTCCAGGCCCAGGGCACACTGCCAGGCCGGCCTTGCTGACACGGAGGGGGGAAGGTGATGCTGGCCAGTGCAGACCCAAAGCTGAGATCTGGTTTTCTTTCCCTGTAGTTCCTTCCTGGCTGAGCTGTGTGGGACTTCCCAGCAGCAGAGGGCGGGTCTGCTTCTCCCTTCCACCTCAGAGAAGGAAAGGAAGCCAGTGCCATCCAGAGGTCATTCCTCAGCAAAGGTGAGAAGTGAGCTGAGCACCGATGTTGTTTGCTCTGCTTTGGGAAACTCAGTCTGTAAGAGTCCAGAGGGGTCCAAGGTTGATCCATAGGGACCCCGATCCCCAGCCAGAACCTATCATTGCAAACACTACCTTCCCTGCACAAGGGAAGAGGACATTGTGTCCAGCCTCCCTGCCTAACAGCCTTCCCTGACCCTAGATAGGCTGCCTTCCCAAACCCACAACTTCTACACCCACTAAGACTTTGGACCTTGATGTTTAGGAATGACCAAATGAATTCTATTGCTCATTATAATTCCATCTTTCCCAGAAATTGTTTTAATGGGTAGCAGATGGCTATGATCTTTTAGTCAAAGCACTCTTATTTCAGCAAATGCAGGCAAGGGATTCATTCCCCAAATGAATGAGACTTGTACGAGAGGGACAGTTATGTGTGTTCTCCTAAACCTAGCAGTTTGGAGGAGCTGGGGAGCTGGGTTGTCAGAGACACCTGTCCAGCAGGTGAGAACAGCAGGAATCTGGCATTGTGTCATGGCTCAGGTCCAGCCCCACCTTTGTGTACATGGGAGAGAATTCTTGTGCTCTTGGGTGGGGATGAGCTGAGGTCCAAGTTCCAGGGTGTTAAGCGGTGGGTGGCACAAGCTGAGATGTTGACAGGGCCAGGGGGCATCCCTCGTGATGGCATGGGCAGTGGGCAGCCTGCGGCCTTCACTTTGTGTTCCAGCTTTCATCATGGAGCACCTGAGCACTGCCAACACCCGTTTCACCTTGGACCTGTTCCTGGCTCTGAGTGAAAACAACCCAACAGGAAACATCTTCATCTCTCCCTTCAGCATTTCATCTGCCTTGGCCATGGTTCTTCTGGGGTGCAGAGGCAACACTGCAGCACAGCTCTCCAAGGTCAGCAGCAGGAAACTTGGTCCCTCTCTGCTATTCTCTGCTAAACCCAGAACTGGGGTCAAAAAGTGGCACCTCTGAACTCTTAATGTGTTTTCTGAAACCATGGTTTGATCTGTGTTTACCAATGGTCCGTGTTTAGGTCAGGTTTTCCTAAAAGCCCAAGAGCAGCCTTTCATGAAGATCCTCACTGAGCCCTTATTATATTATATGGCAGCAATGTGTATTGGTTTGCCTAGGATATAGCAGTGAGCAAATCCACTGATGTTCCTGTGCCACCAAGGGCTTTATTTCCAAGACTGAATATCTCAGCTTTCCTGGGTCCTCACGTCTCCTTGTCTAGTAGTTTCCAGCTGTGCTTTGCATATGATATCTAACTACTCATAAGTAATGCCTGTTCTATGGAATCACCTTTAAACCTTCGAGGGAGGAGATATGGGAAACACACAAAAGATAATGAGAAGTTGGTGGTATTGCCTTCTTTCAGGGACTGGGAAAAAAAGACAACTGTCTAGCCTGTTCCCAAAGCTTGACTCTGTGTGTTAGAGGGGACTGGCTCAGGACTTAGGAGCAGCACAAGATTCCTGTGGCAGGTGGGGTGTGGGAGGCTGGACAGGTTGGTGAGTGGGACCAAGCCCTTGGCCAAAGGACCGAGAGATGACTGTTTCAGCAAGAGAAAGGACACCCCTGTTTCTCATCTTCCGTAACGTTCTGTTTTCTAGAATTCTGAGAGAACTCTGCGTTCTCTTGAAGCCTAGGAAAGAATGGTAAAAGTGGAGAACTTTCTAACATGCCTACCGTACATCAGATGGCACTGTTCTCTGGGAAGGTGAAGCTCTGATGGCTGAAGCCATAGATGGCAAGCCTTGAGCAGAGCAGTTAAGGGAGATAACTAGACTCTGAGCTTAAGCCACAATACCAATGCACACGCACACACACACACACACACACACACACACACACACACACACACACACACAGAGAAATGAATAAAAACATGATGGAAGCCAACCTAGGGATTCATTTAGAAATTTCAAAACAAATAGTAATCTGTAGAACGTTTTCTTTCTTTCAGACCTTTCATTTCAATGAAGTTGAGGACATTCATTCCAGATTTCAAGATCTGAATGCTGCGATTAATAAACATGGAAGTCCCTATATTCTGAAAGTTGCTAACAGATTATATGGAGAGAAAACATATAATTTCCTCCCGGTATGTGCTTTATTTTCCATACTACATAATTCCACTGGATAGTTGAGATGCTTTCCTGTAAAAATCAAGGCACAAAAGGCACTTTAGTAGTTTTAATATTTATACAAACAATATAGAATGAGAATGTGTGGCATATAGCACTTCCTTTTTTTGGACTTTCATTTGCTTAGTAAAAAGCTCAGTCCTGTTATTCTACTAAAGCAATATTGTCATTCCCTTCCAAAGTACTATTGTTATTTGCCCACTTAGGAAAATGTCAGCTCAAGCATTGAAAAGAAATTGGTAAACTTTATATAGCACCAGAGTGTATTAAACTTAGCCCTACCACAATGAACCCTTAATGGTTGAGATACAAAATATAATGCTACTATGTTTGATGAAAATAAAAAGTGTAGGGCTTAGAGTTTTTGTGTTCAATGAAATGTAGCCTTTTCTGCTGAATTCTTTCACTTTCCAGAATTCTGGGAAATTATTCCTGTGCATAGGAGGGGTGATTCTTGACTTCTTCTTGATTTTTGACATAGGAGTTCTTGGCTTCAACTCAGAAAATGTATGGTGCTGAGTTGGCCAGTGTGGATTTTCAGCATGGCTCTGAGGAGTCCAGGAAGGCAATAAATGAATGGGTCAAAGGGCAGACAGAAGGTAAGAGATTGGGCATCATGGAGTCTCTGTTAGCCAGCATTTCCTTACTGTAACATCTCCCTGAGATAGCTTGTGTAAAGAAAAGGTTGTTTAGTCAGCCCACGATTGATTGTTCCAGTGGCAGCACAGTTCCTCATGGCAGGAGCATGTGGCAGAGGAGTGAATTTACTTCATGGCTGGATAGGAAAAGAAAGTAGGAAGGACAAGGGAAAGGAAGAGACCAGTGTCCCACAATCCCTTGAAGGTTATCCCTCCTTTCTGGTCTTGTAGTCTGAACACTTTCCACTTAGTCCCACCTATTAAAGACTCCACCACTTTCCAGTATTGAGAAGGGCTGGGGAGAAAATCTGGAATTCATAAGGCCACTTCCTAGCAATAGTAGTCTCATCTTGTGCAGGCCCGTTCTGTCATCCGCCCTCCTTCCTTGCATCTTATTTCTTTATCCCAGCCCTTCCCAAATCCTGATTCATACACACTTCCCTTTAGATGCCACTTCCTGGACTTAAGTTTTGTAATGCTCATTTGTGGACAAACTGTCATTTATTAGCAATCCATGAGAGGGGAACTGAAGCAACTAAATATTTTCCTCTTGTCAGTCATTTAAACTCCATTTTAAAGTTGAAACCAACACTGAATACGGAGTAAAAGGAATAAAGTGTCTACCTCCAAGTAGTTAATATTCATATTAAATTTCATGGAATACATGAAATCAATATTTAAAAACCATTGTAGCAATTAATACTTTTACCAACCTCTTGTCCGGTAAATCAGGAGCAGTGGGTTGGGTAGACTTATTATCAGGGTCAATTAATTTATTAAAAGAAACTCTCATCTACTATTGTTCCTATGTGAGTGAATCTACCCAAAGAATTCCTAAACACCAGTCCCCTGCTACTGGAAAATGTTGCCTCCTTTACCCATAATGTGGGTGGAGATTTTGTTAGGAGAATGATTGTTTTACCTTGTGAATATTTATCAAAATTATTTCTTAAAGTAGGCTTCCATTTACCAGATTTGAAAAGCATTTACAAGTGATTATTAACATTCTCATTAAGGATATTTTTCAGTAATTTCCACTCATATTAATGCTTCTTGATTTGATACAGTCAGGAAAGGAGCATTTTCCCTAATTTTAGCCTTTCAGGACATTTGATTGGCGTTAATGAACTTTTGGTTTTCATACAGGGAATGAAATCCAGGTCCCGTGCGTGCTACGCACATGCTCTGCTCTCCTCCTGAGCTGCTCTCCAAGCCCCATCATGACCTATTTGCATGCCACCCTGGTCTGTCTCTCACATTGCTGTGTTTAAAGTCAAAAGAACCAGTTGGGCTTCGTTAATACTGAGTTAAAGGAAAATACATTGGAGCATACACGTTTGAATCACATTTCAGTGCAGCCAAATTGTCTGTTCAAACTTGGAATTCCAACATAGAGTTTTCAGTAGGCTCACTTTATCTTCTCAGGGAAAATTCCAGAACTACTGGCTGCAGGTACGGTTGATACCATGACCAAACTTGTGCTAGTGAATGCCATCTACTTCAAAGGAAACTGGCAGGAGAAATTCATGAAAGAAGACACAACCGATGCCCCGTTCAGACTGAACAAGGTCAGGAGATGCCAATGTCCAGAAATGCCTTCTGGGTTGAGTTGTGTGTGTGTGTGTATGTGTGTGTGTGTGTGTGTGTGTCCTCTGGGCATGAAATCCAAGTGTCCCATTTGCTATTCCCATTATTCTATGTGAAACCAAAACTCCAGCCTCTAAATTACTCTTTGCTGTAAAAGAACAGAACATAACTAGGGCATTTTTCTTAATGTTTCAGAAAGACACGAAAACAGTGAAGATGATGTATCAGAAGAAAAAGTTTCCTTTTGGCTACATCCAGGACCTGAAGTGCCGGGTGCTGGAGCTGCCTTACCAGGGCGAGGAGCTCAGCATGGTCATTCTGCTGCCTGATGACATTGAGGATGAGTCCACAGGTCTGAAGAAGGTAACCCACTGCCAATTTCCTGATTCCTGTTTCCTTTTGCTATACTGCTATGCTTAGGCAAATGTTCTTGTGTATAAGTTTCATCATAGGTGCTTGGTATTTGTCCACTGATGTTATCGGACATCCCATACCAATTCTTTGCTATTTCATTGTATATCTAGCCCATCAGCATTAACTTGTTTGAGGGATTACTTTAATTTTTTGGTCATCATCATCATCATCATCATCATCATCATCACTACCCTTGTTATGATAATGTTAATGATGATTTGCTGCTGTTAGGCTTATTTTCTAATATGAACTTAACATAATGTTTCCATTGTAGATAGATGATCTGTTCAATGTTCAAAGTTCCTATTCTTGCATCTTATTGGCTTAGAATATATTTTTGTTCTATTGCACCAATTGGCAAACAAAAATGAAATCTTTCTAATAGAATCTGTTTGAGCACAAAACAAAGGAAACCTATTAGCAATTGTTATTGTATCCCCATTGATTTGATTAGTGCTTATTTGCTTATGTAAAATCTTTTTCACTTTTTCCTTTTGCCTTATTCTTATTTCAGATTGAGAAGCAGTTGTCTCTGGACAAACTGCGTGAGTGGACCAAACCTGCGAATCTGGCAAAGACTGAGGTTCACGTCAAATTGCCCAGATTCAAACTGGAAGAAACCTATATGCTCAACTCTGATCTAGCCCGGCTGGGAGTACAGGATCTCTTTATTAGTAGCAAGGCTGATCTGTCTGGCATGTCAGGAGCCAGAGATCTTTTCATATCAAATATTGTCCACAAATCTTTTGTGGAAGTGAATGAGGAGGGTACTGAGGCAGCAGCTGCCACTGCAGGCATTGCTGTCTTTTGCATGTTGATGCATGAGGAAGAGTTCACAGCTGACCATCCATTCCTTTTCCTTATCCGGCACAACCCCACTGGTAATATCATGTTCTTGGGCAGATATTCTTCCCCTTAGAAGAATCCCTGGAAATCAAGGTCAAGCTTAGAGCTTTATTTCCTGAGCTTTTAGTAGTTATGGTTTTCATTTATTTTTATCAATAAAATTACTATCCAGAACTGGGTACGCTTTCTTCATTTTCATTTATAAACTCATCCCTGTTGCCTTTTTGTATCATTAATTTTATATTATTTATTTTGTTAGAGCTGGTATTGTGATTGAACACAGGGTTTCCTTCTCTTGCTTGGCTTTTTGACTGAATGCTCGCACTCTACAACTTGAGCCATACTCCCAGTTCTGCCATTTTTTGCTGGTTAATTGGAGATAAGAGTCTCTCCCATTTATCTGCCAGGGATGACCTCAGATCTCAGCCTCCTGAGTAGCTAGGATTACAAGCAAGAGATTTTTACAATGAAAAGAAAAAAAACTGGGAATGGTGCTTTTCAGTTAAAAATAAAGATTAACTCAGATGTATAGATTCCTGACCGTGTAGTAATCTGTGAAGTTGCCATGCTGTCTTATCTCCCTGAGGAGGCAGGACTTTCAATAGTCACTTATTTCCCAATCTGGAATTAGAATGAAGCAAAAAGAAGAGATGAAATCAATTTTATAGATGCAGAGTAATCAAATATTATTTAAATGAATGAACCTCTATACAACTGCCAACAGGTTCCATTCATGTTTTGTGACATGAAAAGGTGTCCTTTATTTTACCCTAGTATTTTAGGAGCTAGAGGAACCAGACTGGCTGTGGATGGAAGAGTCAAAGCAGAAGGGCAATTGAAACATAGATGAACACTCTAGTAAAGGGCTTGGGTTATTAAGACAGACTTGTCTGGCCCCATTTCTCTGAGTTATTCTGTAAACTTCCTGTTCTGTGGCAGCCTTCAACTGCTTCAGCTCTTCAATTAAAGGGCCAGATGGCTATAACTTACACTCCCTTATTTCTGCTGTTGGAATGGTATATGAAATGTAGTTCATGTGGGATCACATGGAATAAAGAAGTATACATTCGTTTTAAGCTTAAAGACACTAAGGAATGAAGACTGTAGCAGGCGAACAGTCTCCTTAATCAGTTGGGGTGTAACCAGTTGGGGTGTGTGTGTGTGTATGTTGATACTAGAGCTTGAATTCAAGGCCTGATCATGGTCCCTTTGCTTTTTTTTTTTTTTTTTGGGGGTCCGGTCGTGGGGCCTGAACTCTGAGCCTGGGCGCTATCCCTCAGCTCTTTAGCTCAAGGCTTAGCGCTCTACCACTTGAGCCACAGCGCCACTTCCGGCTTTTTTTCTTTTTGCTTATGTGGTGCTGGGGAATCGAACCCAGGGCCTCATGCATGCAAGGCAAGCACTCTACCACTGAGCCACTTTCCCAGCCCAGTCCCTTTGCTTTTTACTCTAGGCTAGTGCTTTACCACCTGAGCCACAGCTCTACTTCTGGCTTAATTGGAGATTAGAGTCTCATAGACTTTACTGCCTGAGCTGGCTTCAAATCTATATCTTCAAATCTCAGCCTCCTAAGTAACTAGGATTACAGACAAGAGCTAGGAGCACCTGCCTTCTCGTGTGCCTCTGGACGTTCATCACACAGGTTTTTATGCCAATGAGATGGCTTTGTGCAATTGTGTGGTAGACAATACTAAGGTGAAGACTGTATTAATATAAATGTTAGTCTAATGGTCTCCTCTCTCATAGCTTAGCATGCTCTTTCCCTAGGCAACACTAGGCCCATTTAGTAAAGGCAATGAGTGATTAGTCCCTACCCCCTAACCTGAGAGAGCTCACAGACGCTAGGGGTCACCTGATAGGGCCCTCATTTGGGATAGCTATAACCATATAAGGTAGCAGGATTTCCCCAAATCTTGGAGGTTATAAAATGTCACCTGAGACAATATCCAGGACTTTTTCTCTCTTATGAGAAGGGGTCTTGCTGGTCCCTTTACTGGCAATAACCTTTTCTTTGTCCTGTGTATCTGGATGTCTGCGTGGTTTTCTGGCAAAGTCTAATTTAACAATAAACCTTTGCTAACTGTACTCCTTTGCTCAAAATGCTGCACTTCTTTACTTCCATGAGCTGGTGGTCATCATGAATTCAGTTTTCCCAGATTCTGTGAGCCGGACTGATCCCATGGCCCTTCAGACCAGCCCCTCAGACAAGCCAAAACTGCATGCACAAGGGGGTTCTTGGAGTGAAAAATACTGACTTTAGTGAGGGACTGTGCAGACTAAAAGAAAAACACTGGTAAATTGCTCATCAGAAAGATTACTTTCCTTTCTTTTTTCTGTCCTCCTCCTTTCCATCTTCCACTTAAATATTTACTAACTCCTGCCACATTCCAAGTTTTCTCATCTAGGGAAAAACTGTAACTCTTCATCTTGAGTTCCTTGCTATCATTTGAATCCTGGAAGTTCTCCTAAAGGCACCTGTGTTAAAGACTTGGTCTGCAGAGTGGTGTAATAGAGAGGTGGTAGGACCCTTAAGAGGTGGAGCCTAGTGGAAGGTCTAGATCACTGGGAGTTCTCCACTGGGACACAAGGGATTCTTTCTCCTCTTCCCAAGGCTAGGTAAACAAACTGAGTTTTCATTTCAGTTTGGGAAGCTACAGTTTCCTCCTCTGCTTTTATGTGTCTCCATGCAATACACCCCCCCCCCCACCTTGAGCTATGCTCTTGGAGCCTGAACCATGCAGCCTGCTTAAAGTCCTGAGATAGCTCAAATGGTCCACTTCTGAACTGGACTGCATCAGCCTGGGTCCACTGCCACCCAAGGGTACATTGCAGAAGCAAACAAAGGTCATTTCTGTCAGGCAGTGGGTAAAATGATTATTAAACTGAAATTGTTTTTCCTATTCATTTTTCAAATACAATATTCAGTTCATAATTGAAGATAACTAGTTGAGTGAGAAGCCATGGTAACACGGACCCAAATCAGCACAAACAACAGAAAAGAGAAACAGAGCATGCTCTCCACGTAACAGGATCATCACACAAATTATAAAATAACTCTGATTTCTAGGATGGAGACAATAAAAGACATGATTAAAGATTTCAGTAGATAATTGCAACTTAAAAGAGACACTGAAGCCAGATGCCAGAGACTCATGCCTATAATCCTAGCTCCTTAAGAGGCTGAGACCAGAGGACCTCTTTTGGGAACCAGCCTAGGCATATAACCTTGAGAGACTCTTATTTCCCATTTATGAGCAAAAAGCCAGAAGTGGAGCTGTGAGTTAAGTAACAGAGCTCTAGCCTTGAGTGCAAAAGCTAATCAAGATTAGGTGCAGCGTGGAGTGTGGTGCAGAGCCAATGCAGTGTCGCCAGGGCAACGGAATGGACCCAGGTTCCCGCAGCCAGAGCAGGGCAGACCCATAGATGCAGACTGACAGCCACCTGGCATTCAGGCGGACTTTTCAGCTGCTCAATGGCCTCTCCCAAAGCGTGAATAGCCCTCATTTCAAGCCCCAGTAGCGATACAAAAATAAACAAATAAATGGAAATAAATAAAAATATGAAAAGTATTTTCTGTTCTGGACATCAGCCAATTAAAATGATACAAGATAATTTCACAATCTCAAGCAAGCAGACCTGGACAAGGCAGACCCAGATTGATGGAAATAGCTAGATGGAATTTCAGTAAAACCTGCTGAGTAATGCTTTTCCCACACACCAGTTCAGCAGTTCACTGCTCCATGTTGCTGTCAAGAACCAAAATCAATGCAATAAAACTCGGTATATTTGGGGTTGGAGCATCGCTCAGTGGAAGAGCACACATGTGCAGCATGGTAGAGCATGTATGAGGCTCTGGTTTCCATTTCCCTTCAGGACTAAGAAAGGAACCTCCACCTTGGAGAAGGCTGTAGTTCAGAAACATCTACAAATGATAACGTATGAAAGCATTTCTACAACTGAACTTTCAGGGATCTAATGATGTAGAGAGATGGGACTAGAGTGCCAGGAGACTTTCTTAGAAAACCAAGTAGGTATCTGCACTGAAGTGGCTGAATCCATGGTATGAGGAGTGAATGAATCTACCTCAAATGACTCTTCTCTAGATTCACTTCGAGTGTGATATTCACATTTTCTGGAACAGAGATGATTTTCTAGGGTACAGGAGAAACAGTTTCAAATCCCAGGAACAGGTTGGTGTTGCTGAAAGTGGTTTTCCTATTTATTTGTTATTATAAAGGTGATATACAAAGAGGTTATAGTTTGCTAAGTCAGGTAAAGAGTACATTTCTTTTTGGACAATGTCACCCTTCCCTCACTCTCTCCCAGTTTTCCCCTCCTATCCCACCCACAAGTTATACAGTTCATTTTCAATATAGTGTCTAGTGAGTACAACTGCTGCATTTGTTCACTCTTTGTTCCTCCATTTCTATGCCTACCCTTATCCTCCCAAAGACAGACAAATGAACAAACAAGACAGAAAAAAAAAAAAAAGAAAGCAAAAACAACACAAAGAGAAACCTCTTGCTTCCATTTGAAAGAGATTTTCAAAGGGTTCTTGCACCATCTTTCCTTTATTTTCTATAGAGAATTACAACAAATTCTGTTGAAATTTCACTTCTGCACTGACATGTTTGCCTGTATAGTAAAAATACAACTATTTTTATTCCATGCTACTTTTGAAAGTCAGTTTTAAAAGAATGGAGATGTCAGCTGGGTGCTGGTGGCTCACGCCTGTAATCGTAGCTATTCAGGAGGTTGAAATCTGAGGATCATGGTTCAAAGCCAGCCCGGATAGGAAATCAGAAGTGGCACTGTGGTTCAAGTGGTAGAGAGTTTGCCTTGAGCTGAAGAGCTGAGGGACAGTGCCCAGGCCCAGAATTCAAGCCCCATGGCCCCCCTAAAAAAAAAAAAAAAAAGAATGGAGATGTCTTGAAAATTTTAGTTTCCAGTTCAAATTATAGCATATTAGTTGGAATGTATGGAAAAGAGGTAAGATTCCTTCCCCCCATCCCCACCTGGCATTTTCAGGTAACCCAGTTTTTTATTTGTTTGGTTTGCTTTGTGTTTTCAAACAGGGTCTCATTAGGTCACTCAGGCTGGCTTCAAATCCTTCTAAGCTTCCCAGGTGCTGGGGTTACAGGCATATACTATCACGAATGAATATCCTGACATTTTCTAT